CTCAGCACTCTTTGGTATAATCTCACAGCATCTTATAATTTCTTATGAATGCAAATCAGTTTGAGATTATGATCTTTGATTCTAGACAATTGAATTATATTTCTTCTAGTTGGGAAAGAAATGCATGGGCACTTGTTATATATGATGACAATATAGGCATGTGAGCAATTTTTCCAGTTATTTTGGAGTAAATGGATGTGGCAAATTATGTCCATCTCTTTTAATGGAAGTATTTCATGCTTGTGAGCTAGGTAGAGGTTTAGTTATAAACAGTCTGGTTCGATTTTCTGTTGATTTTTGTGGAATTTTTATTATTTTTACTCTCTGATTTTCTGTTGATTCTTGTGGAATTTTTATTTATTTTTACTCTATTACCTTATTTGCAATATTATATGGATGATCAAAGTCCAAAATATAATATGATAAAGTTTCTGAGTTTTTCATATTTGCTGTATCTAGAATTTTGTTGGCTTCTTAAACCATATATTTTTCTTTAGAAGAAAGTTGACTATTAACTGACTTTCTGATCAAACCAACTCTCTGGTTATACGACGCTCTCTGCAAGGAAGCCGATTGATTTAGTCCCTTTTTTTGCAGAGAAAAGGGTTTTCTGTGATACTCTCTGATATGTGTCCACTAGTTTCTGGAATCACTAGTAGAGATGCAGCTTTATCTTCTGAACTCGGAATGAGAGCTCTTGATCTGGCAGTTGGAAGGGCTGTTTTAGCAGCTCATTCAGAAAATAATGTGCCAGTAGCAGCAGATTCTGATTGTCGCGTACTACGACCTGGGGGTCACCTTATCGTTAAACTTCTGGAAAGTGAATATATTAAGGGTTAGTGTTCATTCTTCTGGGGAAATTTTATGTTGTTTCTAGTGTTGGAGGAGCTGACGCCTATTGTTTGGCTTGCAGAATTCAGAGAGATTTGCAATCCACTCTTCCGAAAGGCATCATGGTTGAGACCTAAAGCGACTAGATCATGTTCACGAGAGATTTATTTGATCTGCCAAGGGTTGCAATAACATGATGACTTGATTTCAAGTAGGGTAGAACTAGTATGATTCAGATCTGGAGTGAAACTGAATGTCTACCATGTGTTATACCTCCAGTGTCCATGTTCCCATCTTGACTTCGTTAAATAATAATGCTGGAAGTGTTAGCAGTCTTTAATATGTTGAGTTCTTGAACTTTAAATCAGTTGCACATGGTGAAAGATCAAATCGTTCAGTCATTGACAAAGTGGGAAGGGAAAAAAAAAAA